TATACGGGTGACCAGGGAGTGACGGGTGAGCAGATTCTGGAGGGAGCCCGGCAGCGATTCAACATCACGCTGCCTCGATCAGTCACCTTTGTCTTCCTGCGTCACCGTGTACTCGTGGAGGCCAGCTCTTACCCTCACTTCACCCTGCTGGGTCAGAGCGCAGGCTCAATGTTCCTGGGTAAGATCTGGGCTAAAATGGAGAGACTAAATAAATTCAAGTACTTATTTATATTACAGTAAGATTTTTTTTTTCTTTGATTTAATATATGGGAACAAGATGATGTATATTTCTAACATTTGCTTTCATTGTAGTCTCCACCCTATTTTGCTAACGTTTCTGCAAACATGAAACACATGATGTGTATGTGATTCCCTCATATAGATGTGATCCAGTGCTGTGGATCATATGTTTTTAATTTTACTGAATTTATTCTTTTCTGTGGGATCAGCAACTGTTGTACTGGAAACGCAGTGTGTGTGTGTGTGTGTGTGTGTGTGTGTGTGTGTCGTGTGTGTGTGTGTGTGTGTGTGTGTGTGTGTGTGTTTTAGGGTGGGAGCACTGACGGCCTTCGTTCCTGACCTGTATGTGGACTCGATGGGCTACGCCTTCACCTTGCCAATCTTCCGCTACCTGGGAGGCTGTAAAGTGGCAAGCTACGTTCACTATCCCACTGTCAGCACCGACATGCTGTCTGTGGTCAGAGAAAGGAACCCAAGGTAAAAGTGCATTTAGACACAGCTCCATTTATATTACCAGACCTTCCCAAATGTGGGGGCGCCATTCAGGGGGGTTGCGGATGAAAAGGGGGGGAAACGAAAAGCTTGGACACTGCTAGCACGGGGCGCCCACACAAAGCAAAGCAGGAGATGAAGCATCGCTGAATATGTTTCCAAACCAACTTCATTCTAAGCCAAAGACTAGAAAATATGGTGAAGCATATCTTCCCTTTGGTTTCACCTGCACAAGTGCCGAGGTAGGTCTCCCCTGCAGAATTGGTTTTCCCTTCGTCGGGAGCAGCGCTGGGCTGTTCAAATCACGGACAAACAGTATCCCACATTCTTGATTTTTAGTTCACAAACACTTGTTGTAATGACTAACTACTCCTGACATTTTGGAGATGTTAGCTCTTTATACAGTAAAGTTACAGTGGGATACAAATAATATCAGGCTGATCCTGCCACGATTTGTTCCCCCGGTTCAAACAGTATCCCACAGCTGTTTATGTTTTTAAACCCATTTTGCACAGAGAGGCACTTTTTGAGAAGTGTATTGATAGCAATGTTGAATATTATTACACAGGAACTAAAAACAACTACACGTAAAATAATCACACCGTGACGCCTCTGCCTTTCTAAATGGAGGGACAGTAACTGTGTGTGTATGTAAGCGTGTAAAACCTGCAGATAGTCAGATTAACATTTTGTCTCTATCTGCCATTCTGCAATTCATCTCATGTAAGCAATAACGTGGCGCACAGCGTGACGTGAAAAAAGGTACATACCTTTGACGTTGCGTGAGGAACTCTGTATTCCTCGTCCACACTAAACGCAAAAAAGGAGTTTTAAAAAAATCGCAGTTTTCAGTGATTCGAAACGCTGTTTACTTGTGGACGGAACAGCTGCGTTTTCACAAATACCCGTGTAGGTGTGGACGTAGCATAAAAGAGTTAGTAGTTTATTTCATTGCTACCTGTAATTTGAGTGGTACTCATGGACAGAAAGAGTAATTGAAAAAAAATCATCCAGCCTTTCTGTAAAATGAAAACAGAGAATTGCTACCTACACGATGTGTTCAGTGTGGAGTGTGTTACTAGGTTTGCCCTAAGCTATTCAGTTGTGCTGTATGAAAGCGTCCCAGGCATTTGAGGCTAATCCAATCTTGACCTGTAAATGTTCTGTTGTGTGATTACTCTTGCCCAAAAAAAACAAAAACCTTACCTTTCATCTTCGTCTTTATATTTCAGATTCAACAATGCTGATTTCATCTCAAGAAACCCAATCCTGAGTGCATTGAAGGTGGTGTACTACTGCTGCTTTGCTCTGCTGTACGGCCTGGCCGGCTCCTGCAGTGACGTCATTATGGTGAACTCCACCTGGACGCTGGGACACATCCTCGCTCTGTGGCGCTCTCCGAGCCGCACCAGCATCGTCTACCCTCCCTGTGACATCAGGGCCTTCCTAGATGTCCCGCTGGAAGACGAGGACGAGATGGAGGGCTGGGAGGAGCTTGGAAGAGAAGAAGAGGACGGCGGCAGAGGGGACAGAAAGCGCCACTCCATTGTGTCGGTGGGTCAGTTCAGGCCAGAGAAGGATCACCAGCTCCAGATCAGAGCATTTCGCAAACTGCTAGACAGGAAAGGGGACGGCCCAGGGGGGAGAGAGTCTCTACGGCTGGTGCTGATTGGCGGATGCAGGAACCAGGAGGATGAGGAGAGGGTGTTGATGCTGCGGGGACTCTGTCAGGAGCTGGGCATCGCCGACTATGTCGAATTCAAACTTAATATCCCCTTTGAGGAGCTGAAGAGAGAGCTGGTGGACGCCACCATTGGTCTGCACACAATGTGGAATGAACACTTCGGCATCGGTGAGGACAGCATGTGTTACTAAAACCGTAAAAAGTATTTCTTTTTCAATAGTACTTACTACACAGTTTTCCACAGAAATGACCCAATGAAAAACTTAACAGTACGACTTTTGTATCAGATCAGCCGGTCTGAACATTAATCCTCCATCTTTGTCTCCAGGTGTGGTGGAGTGTATGGCCGCAGGCACCATCATTCTTGCCCACAAGTCTGGAGGTCCAAAGCTGGACATCGTGGTGCCATACGAAGGCAGGCAGACGGGCTTCCTGGCTGACAGTGAGGACAGCTATGCGGCTGCCATGGAAACCATTCTGTCGTTGTCACCAGGCGCTCGACTGGAAATGCGCCGTAACGCCAGGGACTCTGTGGAACGATTTTCCGACCAGGAGTTTGAGTCTTGTTTCCTGGCTGCCATGGAGCCTCTGATGGGTACTCTAGAGCGATGAGTTAAAACAGATGAGGTGCTGAGTCCACCAGGGACCAGAACGTTGTTGGTCTTTTAAATAGTGCTACACACATATATAGGATTGAACAGTGAGGGTCATGTGTATGTTTAAAATGGCTTAAGCTTGAAGGTTTAAGTGTGATGGGGTGGATCATTTTCAGCATAATAATCTCACAAAGCAAGTCAACATCATCAAGACACATTCGGGGTGGACACCCAGAGAAATAATTGGGATGAATAAACAAAACCAACAAAGAGTGTAGGACTGTGCGTTTGTCAAACTTGTGTGAAAGTCTTCAGTGACAGCAGAGCTGGAAGCACGATGATGGGGGAAAAAATCGGGTGAAAAATCACATTCTGTTCACCTCCAAACTGAGTCATGTGTTCATATGACTTTACATAAAAAATTACAAGACACCTTGAGGTTCAGGAAATGTCCTCTTTAATCTCATAATTATAGCTATTATTTATGTTCTCTGTCATATTTGCTCCAGGAACAATTTAGGCAATCCGGAGATTACCTGGGTTTTGTTAGGATGTGCAACAATGGACACTCATAAAAGCTAAAAAAAAGACAACAATAAAGTGAGGTCATCGGAAGGTAAAGCTAGGTAACAATGAAAAAGAATATTAACGGAGTTCTCACATAAAGATGAGAGAGATGTTAACATTCCCGGATGAACGTTTAATTCCTGTGATTTATTTTCATCCTCATATCTTTACAGTTTCAGATTGGATGTTATCCACATAACTGCTTCGCCCCATATGTGCTAACAACCTTTTGTGATTAGTAAACTAAAAATACAGATCGAATCTGGTAGATAAAACTCACAAGACACATGCAAATCCAACAGCTCTAAAGAGCTTTCACTGTTGGTGGAGCTAAGGCTTCTGTGTTCGTGCTAAGCTAAGCCACACTTGCTGCATCTCTGTGCTGGAGAGAAAACTGATCGTGAGAAAGACCACAGGAACACTCACGTTTCTCAAAATGTATTTTGTTAAATAATTTAATATTGCGGGGAGAGTGACATTCCAAGCTCCAACACTTTTAAGCGTGTAGAAGTGATTTATGTCCAGTTAATACTGATATAGTTTGATTTTATTTTTTGCAGTGGCGTGATGTTAGCAACATGCTTGTAAATGTACTTGAAGGGAAGGGTGGAAATGTTGTCTGATGAAGAATTTCTTGTAACGCTTTCTGTGTGCACAAGAAGCACTTAAACCCACAGGTTTGTGGTTTTAAACCATGGCCAAAGCACTCTTAATTTAAATGTTTTTTCAGCTGTTGTATTCCTGTTTGTGATGAGGTCCAGGCATGGAAATATTATTATATGTAAAAGGCTGACTAACCTTTATTTTTAAAGATGAATTAGAACTATTTAAGTCTGTCCATGTAAAAAGGCTGTTTGGAGTTTGTTTCACTTGCAAACTGCAATTAAATTAAATAATGCTGCAATAAACGAAACACTTGAGATTTGTTGTGTGCTGCCAGCCTGTTGTAAAAAAAACACACATGAAATAAATGAGACGAGATATCGTGCGCAAAAGTAAAACATTACCAAACATGATTAAAAACTCATCTGTTAAATGTCACATATGAGACCTGTACTATGAAGCCAGTTTAGCTGCTTAGCTGAGTCCTGCGGTCCATCACCATCAACCAATAACATGTCAGTGAAATAATGTCATATTATAGTATCATGGAGTGTCCGATAATTCCCATTTGTATTAATTTAGTAGTGTTTTTCCCCTCTTACAAGCCAAAGTGCCTTAAATTTCACAAAAACTCTTGTGCTTTTAATAGTGTATGTTTCCTCACACACACATTCATGTAACTGCACATTATTCAGGCTTAACATCTTATTCCACTGGGCTATTTACTGGAATAGGTTAAAGATAACTTAGAAAGTGTGACTTGTGGTTACGCCAGATAAACAACCTAAATTAACAACAATCCTTCACAGAGTCATGTATTCACATCATGAAAACAATCACTTTTTATTATCAGATTCCAGTTACTCTTACATTTTTGTCCAACTCTCACAAAATCAAAATGTTAAAGTTTGCAGGCGGTTAAGGAGTCTGAGGCTGCTCGTTTGAAGCTGTGGTATGTTGTCTGTGGGACTCAGGCTCAGCAGGAAATACCTTGAGCTTCTTCACTTGAATTCTGGACCTCTGCTTGGATTTGTTGAGGATCTCCAGAGCTCACTGCACCTTCATCCATCTCCTCCTCCATCCTATCAGCTAGTGGTTCGCGTTCCTGCTCCTTTTCGTCTGAGCTCGTGTCCTCCATGACAAACAGGTTCCTCATGGAGTCTGCAACTGCTTCTCTCAGCTCATCCTCTGACTCCTCAAAGTTCCTAATGAGAAAGAGTGGAAAAAATTAACACTTAATGACATGTAAGAGTTTAAAAACAAACACACATTGAGCAAAATGTTTGATGTAATTAAGTAAGATTTGTGATGTTGCAGAATTCTGGGTGTGTGTACACTGCTGAGTAAAGACGGGTAGAGGCTTTTCGACTCGCTGCACATTGTGGCTCAACCTCTGTGTAGAAATGTGACTAAAAATATGAAGCATTGCAAAAATCATTGCTCAATGTAAAAAGTAACTTTGTTGTCTATAATACATTCATATCTTATATATCTGGTATTGTTCTATTCCCCCCCTCTGAAATTCAGAGACATGTAAAGCTCCGCGCTGTTACATGACGAGCAACACTGACGAGCAATTTTTGGTGCATTTTTTCACTAAATTCTTCTGGAATTTGACTAATGTGTCCAAAGTTATAGTTGACAATCTGATTCTCTTTCATTTAATCCTCTAATTCAGGGGTCCCCAATCCCAGTCCACGAGGGCCGGTGTCCCTGCAGGTTTTAGATCTCACCCTGGGTCAACACACCTGAATCACATGATTAGTTCATTACCAGGCCTCTGGAGAACTTCAAGACATGTTGAGAAGGTAATTTATCCATTTAAATCAGCTGTGATGGATCAAGGACACATCTAAAACCTGCAGGACATCGGCCCTCGTGGACTGAGATTGGGGACCCCTGCTCTAATTTCTGTACAATACTGTAATAAACTGATATCTGATAACTGTAACTCCATCTGGTTCAGCTCACTGTGGCAGCATGGAGTAAAAATACGCAGTATATTTAGAATGTGAACAGAAGGAAGTGTTGACTTACGTGTCATCATCATCTGACCTCGGCTCCAGACGCTCTTCATCCATCTCCACATCAGACTCCTCCTCTCCTTCACCATCCCTTTCTTCCTCCTTGTCCGGGTTAATTTCCTCCTCTGTTCCGTCCTGCTGTGTCTCTAAATCTTTTTCACATTAAAGACATTCCAGGACCACTGAGAACAGCACATTTACCCTTTACACTGCTGGTTTCAACACCCATCAGATGTGAGTGTGTGATGTCTCACCTGTGGCCACTGAATCTAGAGTTGATGATGTGAGCTCAGCCTGAGCCAGAGCTCTCAGCAGGGTGTTAGGGGGCTCGTCAATCCACTGCCTACGACCTGCCACTTCCTCACCTTGTCCAATAGATCGACATTATTCAGAGAAGCAAAAACCGACTAATTGTAATAAACATTTTGAGCATCACCACCCAGCTGTTCTGTGGGTATGCTGCACCTTGTCCAGCCTCGACCGCCGTGTTGTAGACTGAGTTGATGTCCATGTTGCCGAGCGCGTTCAGCAAAGTCTGAGGAGTCCTGTTGCTCCACCCCCTCCTCCCCTGTAGCCAATCCTTGAGCTTCAGCTGTGCTCCTTCCTGGAAGGACAGAGTTCGATTCAGTGGATCCACTTCCTGCATGGAAAAGGAACGTAAGAGTGAGAAGAAGATTGGCAGTTAGAAAGATACTAAAGACTATATTTATTATATTTATATTTATTTAATTAATTATTTCACCTTTTCTTTTATTTGGCTTTGATTGATATCTTGTGTAATTTTATTATATAGTTCCTATGTACAGCACTTTGTGTCAGCTGTGGTTGTTTTAAAGTGCTTTATAAATAAAGGTGATGATGATGATGATGATGATGATATCTTCTGTCTCTCACCTGGTCATCCTGTTTTCTTCCTTCCTCTTCTTTCTCCTCCTCCTCGTCTTCCCTTAGCTTTTCATTATCTAATCGGATCTCAAACATGATTCCCCTCTGTAGACGTCACAAACCCCCAAAAAGAGCAAAAGATACAGTAGTCTTCAGTGCTTCAGATGTGTCAACAACTTAAATGCCACTGTTGAATCTGGAAAGGTCTTCAATATTCAAAAAGTTTGAATGCAGGTATACAAGTAGAATTACTGGACTAAACCTCTGCAGAATTGTTTTTGTTGGTATAAACTCACTTTGTCTTTGTGTTTTCTCTCCAAAGCTCTCATCTGGTCTCTGTTCTCCTCTCTGATCTGCCTCAGAGCTGCTTCAACATCCTGCAGAAACCAGACACAGAGAAAACTACAGTTATCATGAATTCTTCTGTAGAATGAATATTGTATCCCTAAATATGTGTGCAAACACTACAGTGATTGCTTTAAAAAATAAAGCAGAATATACTGTCAGAGTATGGTTATAGGGTTGTAATAGTTCGTGAAGATAATACAGGTATATGCCATGCAGCCACAGGGTGTGATTTGCAAGGAGAATGCACCTTTAATCGATCTACAGTACAAACAACACTTTGTGCACTGGCAATGCTTTGATAGTTGAAATGATATTGCATAGACGTGAACAATCTGGATTCTGTTCTGTTCCAACTTGTTGTTTCAGAGTCAAAACTATTACATTATTAATATTAAAAATAAAATAAAAAGATTTAGAGTGTCACATTTTACAGGACATTCAATACAAATATTTCCAGTGGGTGTCCAACGCATGCCTGGTCATCTACATCAGCATTCCCTAAAAAGGTGAGATCTATAGTCTCGTATTTCATTCCATTGTATTCATTCAGTTATGCACGGTGTCTGTTGTCTCACATCCTGCAGTTACAAAGCCTTGATGTGAAGAAAGGCTACAGTGTGTTAGTTTGGCAGCTGATGGCGACGCTGCTGTGATGGGCTGTTAGAGAGGAACGGTCAGTGGAAAGACCAACCCTAACTTGACCATCATACACTGCATTCACAAGTTAGAGCCTGCAGTCCATGATGGTGCAGAACATGTTACAGAGATATTTTCACATATTTATGAAGTGTTTGTTGCTGGTCTGAATAAATATAAAGCCTTGCCCCTTTTCCTCTCTGGAGGTTTGCATATATGAGTAAAAGAGGGGCGCTGCACTGCAAATATCACTCTACAGGAAAGCAGAAAATTCGTAACTGGCCTCTGAAAGAAATTAAATTAGCTTTAGAAAATTGCTCTATATTACTAAAATATCATCAATATGAAGAAAGTATTTGTGATTCCTATCCAGTAATCTATTTCACCAGTGCAGGTGCTGCTTCCTGGGGCTCTTTGTTGTCGACAGATGGTTCTATGTCCTTGGATTGCTCCAACACAAAGGTCTCGAGTTTGTGTTGTGGCCTGGCCTGAAACATGACAGGATGAAAATATGTTAATGCTCTTCATTATTGACTGAGAGTTGCTATTATGTGTATTTTCTGCAGAAGGTTGATTCAACCTTTGAAGTGACCCAAAGTGTAAAAGGGTAAGTTCAAGAGTTCAGGAGTTTGTACGTACCTCTGCTTCAGCTCTCATCCTCATCTGTTTCATCTCCAGGTGATATTGCTGTCTAATGAGATCGAGCTGACGCAGGTACTCCTGCAACCACACACACTCTAAAAGCTACTAGAAAACATTCCTAGGAGAGTTTTTCTGCATTTCTTTATTTCTGTAAACACATTTTTGTCCTTCATTTAGATACTAAACATAACTGCTCACTTTAATGGCTGTTGTGTCTTGTGAGTGTGTCCCACCTGCTGACCCCCTTGTCTCTTGTCCAAAGGCATATGTTGGTGTTCAGGTTTGCCCACCTCCTGCTCTTGACCACCAGGCTTGCTGTTGCGCTCAGCTGTACATGGACGCAGACCCTGAACAACAGAAAAGCAAAGGCTAAAGGTAAAAGTGGCTAATCGTTGTGAAAACTGTGCCACTTTCATTTCTTACAGTATAGTCTTACAGGTAATAAACTCTACTGTGCATTAGTACAGTTTAATAGTGAACAGTTTTGATGTACTTGTGTTCCACTACACTAACCACAACACTACAGCTCCGCTTATAGTTAATACACCAATAGAAGAGCAGATATTCCAGCAACAGTGTGTGGAGGCACAGAGCTTAGTCCTACCAGCTGTTTCTCTGCTCTCAGCTTGTAGTCGTTGGCCTCCTGTCTTCTCTGCAGGTATTCATTTCGAGCGGCAGCCACACTGACAGAAGAAGATTAACTGTTACTTTAGTTCAATTCAATTGTATTTATATAGCGCAAAATCACTGAACAGGTGCTTCAAGGTATTTTATATTGAAGGTAAAGACCCTACAATGATACAGAGAAAACACCAACAATTAGATCACTGTCTTGCCGACAGTGGGAGGGAAAACTCCCTTTTAACAGGAAGAACTAGGCTCAGGGCATCTATCATGACCTGTTGGGGTGAGAACAGGAAGACAGGGCAGGACCGTTCTTCTCCCTTGCAAAAAACTCTGATCTACTTGAAAGCTGAACAGCTGCTGACTGTTTTTAAGAGTCGCTGCTATTTAAATAAAGTGTGTTGCTAGGTCCTGGTATGAGTGCAGTTCCAAATTTATGGTCGACTGGATGAAGGCTGGTCTAGTTTTGGAGACTTTTCCCTGATGCTAGGGAATCAGAGCTAACCAAGAAGATATAAAAAAATTTATCTTTTTATTTCTGTAATAAAAGATTTTTAGAATTAGGACGGTGACAAAGACTAGTGTGCATGTGCAACAGTGAGCAAAGCAAAGCTCAACCCACCTGACAGAAAAACTGTTTGCAAAAAACCTCCATCAATGGCCACAACACACGAGTGTTTTCAGATCAAAGTGTAGAAATGCTAAACATTTTGCCCAATAACTGAATGTGTGAGGTGTGAACACACAAAGTATGTTTAATGTAAAGATATGTTTATGGTATATTACTGTTTTATCCCATTTAACTACTTAAAAAGAACCTTTAATGGCTGTATGTACAGCTGAAACAAATCATCCATTAATGAAGAGGAACTCAATTGACAGCTATGCTACTGTAATGATAGCTGGATGTACTTTCTATCCTATTGTTTTTATTGGTTGATTTAATTTAAAGTTTTTACAGAAACTGTTTCCTGAATAATTGTTAGTTACAGGTGTACTGGTCTTTGGTCACTCACAGCTGATATGGTTCCACAGAACAAGGAGCAGCTTGGTCTTCACATTGCTCCTTTGGTCTTTCCACAGGAGGAAGAGGAAGAACATCCTCTTTGTTCCTCCTCTGAAAGGCATCCAACTGGGCGTGGTAATGCTGGTAATGGCTGACAGGCTGCTGACCATTAAACCTGTAATTAATATTACATATTATACATGCATGATAAACCATCATCATTAAGTGAAGCTAATGGTTGATTAACCAAACCTGAGATCTGTATCTGTATGAATGATAAGAAACATACAATAGAGGTATAAGAAAGTACATCCTTTCAATTCTAAGGTTTTACATATCAGGACATAACTTGATGAGCTCTGGAGACTTGATGATGATCATTTAAATCAAGCACATTTGATTAGCAGCACATGGCTGCTACTTACCCACTTAATTCCCTCTGCATCAGCTAAGGGTCTACTTTGTCATACACTGCTTCTGCATTTTGGCTTAATTTTAGTTAAATACGTAATGACATGGTGTAATTTGTCTATGTTCAAATCCAGTCTGGGGACTTTCTGTGCAGAGGTTGCATGCTTTCCCGTGTCTGTGTGGGTTTTCCCTGGGAACTCCGGCTTCTTCCCACAGTCTAAAAACATTCTTGGGGTTAGGCTAATTAGTGATGCTAAACTGGCCATACATGTGAATGTGAAAGTGAATGGTTGTCTGTCTCTCTGTATTAGCCCTGTGACAGACTGATGACCTGTCCAGGATGTACCCCAGCTCTCACTGTATGAAGCTGGGATGGGCTCCCCAGTACCCCAACCCAAACTTGAACTGGATAAGCAGAAAAAGGGTAGATGGATGTAATATGTCATGTTCATATGAGGCTGCGGCTAGCTATTATAAGCTCTAATTTTTTTTACAGATCATCTTGAAATAAGATGCACTTAAAGCTGGTCAGGTTACACAGCTGTAAACAGAAGTGTCAATATCAGGCGGGAATAGGACCAAAGGAGTTACTATCCGTTCACATCATTCTGAGCAAACCTTTGGATCCCTGGAAACTCTCTATTGGCTGCTAGTTGTGCTTCTCTACGTTGAGGAGGCTGCAATTACAAACAAATGCAGTATTAATACAACAGAAATACAAGAAAAACTAAAGAACTGTATTATACTGACTGAGCTGTGCTTCCATTGCTTTACTGCAGCTTTGTTAAAAGAACAAAGAATTCCAGTAAAGCAAAAATCATGCTTGGGTGATACGAGCTCTACTCCAAATCTGAAAAAGCACCTACTAGCTAAGTACAGCAGTTCCACACCACTGGAGGTACAGTAGTTAAAAATAAGCTAGCAAGTCAAGCAAGTCATTAACTGCTGAAACTTACAAAGTTACTTTTTTATGGTGGTAATCAGTGAAACTGTGGATATTGTTTCCATGTTATTACTTTATGGTGGGTGGGTGTGTAGGCTTTGAGAGGGACTTTCCAATCTGGTCTAGCAGGCACTCGCTTGTTGGCATTCCCCGGCCTCTCGGCTACTCTAGCCTTCTGAATCTTACCTGGAAAACATGAGAATCTTGAGTTAGAATAACAAGGAGTGGGCTGTTTTTTGCTGTCTGTGAGCACTTTTCTTGGTTTCTGTGTTTTTAATGTGTCACTTTCACACATGACATAAATGTAGGTTTATACGTGCATACAGTGGGGGGGGGTTACTGCTTTGACAGTGCATGCAGTTTTTCATGCACTGCTTTTTTGATTAAAAGAAAAAGACTAAACCACTCACACAACAGGTAAAAATAATGTGCAAGTGTTGAGACAAATAAGTTAGGTAACCATTGTGAAGGAGAAAGTGAAAATAAACACCCCCTCAGTGATTTGTGCTTGGGCTGTGCGCTGATGTTATCAAAACACAATGTGAGCCAGGATGTAAGGTGATTACATTTAGTCCAATCAGGTTCCAGATCTTCCCCAACAGTTACTGAAGTGATACGAGCGGACAGGAGTTTCCCTGCAGCTTATCAGATGTGTTGAAGGACAGTCGTGGTGTGGGTAAGCTACCACTGGGTGTCACTACAGTATACACAATTGAAGACTCAGAACAGAACTGAAATTATTAAGAGATTCTCTTACTGCTCTTATACCTGAAGGCTCTGCTGATGTTTATCTAATACAACTCTTAGTGCTTGTACTATAAAAAGTAATGCAAAAAGTTTTGGAAAAAAACACTCCTGCATCATAGACAGTGACTGGAAAGACACCACAGGGAAATATGTTTGATATGTGCACACAGCATACAGAGGCATCCCTACGGGTATGCTTTATGTACTTTAAATTATTTTGAAAGTAAATTAAAACATATAACCATCAATAAACACATCAGACTAACATCTGAAGCCCCTGAATTCGCTCTGCACCATAACAACATGGTCCAAGTCATAATGAACTATCTTGAGCAACACAACAGAAAAAGAAGTACAAGCAGAAGTATTGCAGCAGATGGTCTGGGCCGTAAGGAGTCTTGACCTCAACATCATGGACACAGTCTAGGAATAGAATAGGCAGAAGATACTGACAGAACCTAAATCAGAAGGGGAAAAAAAATCAATGCATGTTTTCCAGGAGATGTGTGAGGGAAAAAGCTGCCTTCCAAGTAATTTAAAATTTTGTATTGTAAGTCCAGCTGCACCTTGTGTGTTTGCTGCTCCCGCTCTTGTTTTAACTGGTTGAGACCCCACAGCTTTGTTTCTATGCAACACGGTGTGGCTAAACTCCTCTTGCATCACCTGCTCACACACAAGAAATCACAAAAACAGAAGCAAACCTGCACATTCATATATGTATTTATCTGTCAGAGATTTTTATGACCAAGTCAATACCTGGAATTTACAAACATTTGAACTAACACACTATATCATTTCATGTAATGTGAGATTTGTTTGAATTCATGCCCCGTGAAGTCCTGTCTGAAAAACAAAACAATTCCTGAAATCTGAATTATCTAAAATCTCAATTAATCTCAATTAATATTTAGTAATGTTTCAATCTGATGGACAAATATATTAGGCACTGAAAAAATATTTTAAAATATTTATAACTAAGTAGTTGTTTAGTATTATGCCCATATAGTACTATTTTTTAAGAAATTTGTTTGCTGTGTTTGTATGATCTTGATTGATTGATTGATTGATTGGTTTATGTGTTTGATTTTGTTTCATGAATTAGTGACAGTGCTAATATTATCTTATTCCTAAACTATCTTTTTTATGTTGTAAACATGAACAATTTCCTTTTACTGAGACGATTTGATGACATCAATAATCTGTGAACCAATCCGATTGCAAACCTGAGTATCCAGGTGTTTGCTGATATGTTTCTCCAAAATAGGACGTCGGAGGACTGAAGTGACTGAGGGACGGTCTCGTGGGTTGACCTAAAAAGGAAAGAAAAAAAATGTTTGCTTTCATGTGTATGCACAATTAAAGTAAAAACTCAGCGCTTCCTGGGAGATCCAAAGGTATTTTTAGCAAAGACGCACCATCTCGGTATACCAATGCAGTCTCTTTCCTGTAGGAAGCATCCAGACTACCTGCTTTTTCTCCAAAGTGACATCCTGGTCGCATGACCAAACCACTTCAGATATTAGCCCAAAGGAGCAGTTGTTCTACTCTCTGCTAATTACAGTCTGACTCATTACTAATTAAGTCTGAGTCAAAAGTCCAGCTTCGTGTTCATACTTGTTGGTTTTGCACACTTGTTTATCATATCCACAGACCAAATGAAAAACCTGGAACTGACATGAGAGTGTCTGACCTTAAAGAGCTGGGTGACCAGCAGGCGTAGGTCGTAGGAGTAGCGGCTGGGTACTGGGCTGTAGCGCCCCCTGCAGATTTTACTGACAAGCTGTCGCAAGCTGCTGGCCTCAAACTGCAGGAGACAAGTCGACACAGGCACACACAAATACCCCATGGGATATATATATGCAGCACACAGAGAGTTCATGTAAATGTCTCTACTTTGGACGACCAAAACAGATTCTGTGTCAGTTTCCTATTCGGTCTAATTCTGATTCTCTTACTGCACTCCTACACAGAGGCCAGCATTGGCGTAAGTGTTAGCATTAAGACAGCATTAGTGAAGCTAAGTGTGTGAAGCAGCTTTGGGTGTGCAGGGCGTTGGGCAGCTTACTGGATGTTTTAGGGTACAGAGTTCATACAGGACACACCCCAGAGACCAGATATCCCTGCAGGAAGGAAACACACACACACACACACACACACA